ATTCAAAGCATTTACTTTAGTTTGTTTTTGTTTGTTTTTCAAAAACGGTAAAAGTCTGATCTTGCGAAAACTAGGTTAGTTCATTTCGAAATCTCAAGCAATTTCAGCAGTAATTCATTCAAATAATAATGTAATTGAAAAAAAAGGTACATTAAGTGTATTTAGATTTTTTTAATGTTTTTGAAAGAAGTGTATATATATATATAAACAGAAATAATAGGATTAGCTCTGGAGGATGCACCTATCTGAAGGAGGGTATCACTGAGAATATATATATATATATATATATATATATATTACTGTCATGACAACTCTCGGAGGGATTGGCATGGTAATGTACATGACAATGTTAATGTATTTGGTCTTGGCGGAATAGATCTGCTACACTGCTGCAGAGCAAGTGCCGAGACTTGCTACTGCCAATACATCCACAACCTGCTGCTGTGAGCATGTAAGAAATATTGCTGCTGCACATATAACATACATGAAATAACCCCCATATAGCATACTTGAATCACCTCGTAGCAGATCTATACAGGTGGAGCTGGGGAAGGTGGAGGGTTTCTGAAGCAAGCCACAACTGCTAAGGCAAGCGCTAGTCATATATTTGAATGATGAGCAGCGAGCTCATTGGCTACCGATACAGGAGAGACATGGCTGTGCCATGTGATAATGATGTCATTAGGTCAGATTGCATTAGACCTATCGGACTGCGCCATCTAGAGTTGCATGCCAGAACTCTGTGTATGTATATATATATAAAGTGAAGTGACATGTGGCCAAGTATGGTGACCCATACTCAGAATTAGTGCTCTGCATTTACCCATCCAAAGTGCATTTACTACACACAGCAGTGAACACACACAAACCGTGAACACACACCCGGAGCAGTGGGCAGCCATTTATGCTGCGGCGCCCGGGGAGCAGTTGGGGGTTCGGTGCCTTGCTCAAGGGCACCTCAGTCGTGGTATTGAAGGTGGGAGAGAGTGCGGTACGAGACTCGAACCCACAACCTTTGGGTTATGAGTCCGACTCTCTAACCATTAGGCCACGACTTCCCCCACAATATATATACAGTGGGTACGGAAAGTATTCAGACGCCCTTAAATTTTTCACTCTTTGTTATATTGCAGCCATTTGCTAAAATCATTTAAGTTAATTTTTTTTCCTCATTAATGTACACACAGCACCCCATATCGACAGAAAAACACAGAATGTGATATTTCAGTTTTTCTTTTTTAATAAATCTGCAAAAATGTCAACAATTCTGTGTTTTTCTGTCAATATGGGGTGCTGTGTGTACATTAATGAGGAAAAAAAATTAACTTAAATGATTTTAGCAAATGACTGCAATATAACAATGAGTGAAAAATTTAAAGGGGTCTGAATACTTTCCGTACCCACTGTATATGTATTTGTCACACTGTAGGATTAAAAATGGATTAGTAAAGGCAGAATTATGAAAATAAATACTGATAAGTCACAGGATTGTCCCTTATATATGCTTACATTACTTAACTGCTTAAAATTAATGTTATGTAATATTTAATACAAAAAAGTTAATGGACAAGTGTTATGTCAGTCATCACCACCGAGCGCAAATGTCTTGTCCTTATTAAACTTAGCTCTCAAGCTCTGAAAGTAAGAAGAGAAATTCTCAGAATCTGGCTATTATTAGCATTTTTGCACTTTCTGCACCCAGAAAAGTTGCTGGACACCCAGGATCTATTTCCAACGATAGGATTAGGCCTGATCTGTCAGTTTGCCAGACATATAAAGGGATCTGTCTCCTTTTTTACTCTGATGTCTTGGAAGTATCAGGCATACAGAATGCAAAAAAAGAAAAAGCCTTGCATCATATGTACCTGGCTTTGTACATCCAGGATTAAGTAAAAGTGATTATGAGGATATCCTCTCTTGACGGGAGAGAGAGCGCCCGGCTTGGCACTTCAGAGCGCTCGCACGTTTACGTTCACAGTGAGGAGCTGACAGACACAGCAATGCTTAATTTACCAAGCTCACTATTAATTTAATTGGAGGTTGATGGATAAAATATCACACACGCAATGTTTTAAATAGCCAACTGTGTATGTAGGGTCTGATATGCCTGTAAACAAAAACAAACAAGTATGTTATGTATCTATTAATGGACTTTGAGCAGACAATTGCATAGAGAAGGATTTGAGATATTAGAAAGCTTATCTCAGGCTTGCAGTATAGTTGTTGACGCATATCTGTGCTGATACATGCAAGACAACATCAGCAGTCCATCAGCATCATCCAGTTTTCTGATATTTACCCGCTCATTCCCAGACAAACAAACAAAAACAATCTCCATTTGTGTGTCAAGGATCATCTGCTGCACATCAGCCTAAAAGCAAGATCTCATGAGCTGAGATTAGGCTTAGGTAGCTTGATATCAAGATCTGGTTTACTTCACTTGTATTAGTAATGTTGCAAATAAAGCATTGGAAGATTTAACAGTATTTGTTTGTACATAGATGTTTACTAAATGAATAAATAAATGCAGTGGTGAACTGAGTTTAAAACATTTTATTGTGTGAAAATTACACTGTGATATGAAAGACATGAAAGTCACATAAATCAGAATCCAGTACTCCATTGAGCAGTGTAATTATAGTTAGATTCTATTATATATAAGCTACTGTTCAAAAGTGTGGGGTGGTAAGATAATGTTTTTGAAAAAAGTCTCTTCTGCTCAGCAAGGGTGCAAGGCACAAAATAGTACAGTAAAAACAGTAATATTGTAAAATCATTTGTATATAAAGTTTTCTTTTTTTATTATATTTTAAAATGTAATTTATTCCTGTGATGCAAAGCTGAATTTTCAGCATCATTACTCCAGTCTTCAGTGTCACATGATCCTTCAGAAATCATTCTAATATGTTGATTTGCCACCCAAAAAAAAAAAAAATGTTTTTAATATATAATCAATGTTGAAAATAGTTGCACTACTTAATATTTTTGCGAAAGCTGTTTCCTTTTTTGTTTTCGGATTCTTTACTGAATAGAATTCTGAATGGATTTATAGAATAAGTTTGAATCAAAAAGCAGAATTTATTTGAAAAAGAAATCTTTTGTAACATTATAAATATTTATAAAAGTTTTTGTCACTTTTGATCAGTTTAATGCTTCCTAATGAAAGTATTAATTTATTTTAAAAAACTTTTGAACTTATGTGTCATTTTTGTTCTCTTTTTTTTGTTTTTTCTTAAGAGCAGGGGAATTTAGGTCATTGCAAACCTGGAGTTGTACCTCAACTACATAACTTACATCAGTGCAATGGTTGGCTCCAAAAGAGTCCTGAAAAACTCCACAGAGGTTATTTAAAAGACAGCAAATGTAAATATTCTGTACATGTATATGTGCTGATTGAACAAATAGTACATGGAATGAGAACTGGACTTTGATTTGCACTATCACTTAGTTTTCTGTTATCAACACACACACACACAAAAATAATTATTTCATTTTTAATAATTTTGTCGCTTTCAAAAGAATGAAACCCAGCCTCAAACAGCAACAGAGTGAATGAATGTAAGTTGGCAAATGTGAGCCAATTAGATACTATTGCAAACCTGAATACGTTTTTAAATGCAGTTTTACAAATGCTAGAGATGCGGCTTTCAAATGACAGATTGCTATCAAATAGCACAGATTCCTAACTGATGGCAAAGACTTGACAGAGCAGCCTTCAAGTGCTAGAGATTATTCATTGCGTTGAACCATTAGTTTTGTGAATTTTGTATGTTTTGTCAGGCCATGAAGAAATATAGAGCTATAATATAATATAATTCCACTAATGCCAACATTATTTCCGAGCCTATTCAAAAGAATGTTGTGGTTGATAGTATCAAATGCAGTGTTAACTACCATCGGATAAGAGCAGGTCATTTGAGACAACTCTGATGAGAGCAGTCTCAGTATTATGATTTGGTCTAAATCCTGTCTGGAAATCCTCTCTGATACCAAAGAACATAGTTGTGAGTGCCTTTTCTTGTATTTTTGGAAGAAAAAGGAGATTCAAGATCAGTCTATACTTAACATTCTCTAGACTTAAGTTGTACAAATGTAGACAACCCTTCCTCTCCTGTAGCAAAGAATGAATGGAATTGTTCCTCAGGGGTGTAAAATGCACTGTCTGATGCAATCTGTAGCAGATGGTTGCATGGTTATAATTTTTTTTCAGATAGTTACAATCTTGCAAGAATTTGATAAAGTCATTGCTGCTGTGCTGTTGGGAAATGTCTGAACCTGTTGAAGCTCTATTTCACGTTAATTTAGCCACTGTATCAAATAAATACCTAGGGTTGTGTTTGTTTTCTTCTGAAAGATTATAAAAGTAAGCAAATTCAGCAGTTTTCAATGCCTTTCTGTAGGAAGAAACACTATCCTTCCATGCAATTTGAAATTCCTCTAGTTTTGTTTTCTTCCAGCTGTGCTTCTTTTTTCCGGGCTTCTCTTTTTAGGGTGCAAGTGTGCTCATCATATCATGGCATTGGACTGTTCTCCTTAATCTTGTTTAAGCGTTAAGGAGCAACCGTGTCTAGAGTGCTAGAAAAGAGAGAGTTGATCGTTTCTTTTGCCACATAGAGTTCTTCTAAGCTAACTTTAACCTCCACGGAACCTTTGCATTGCACAAAAGGTTATTTATAGTATAAAAAAGTTATTTATATTATTTAAATGTTTTTAACACTAAGAAAAAAATGGTTCTGGGAAAAAAATGGAACACCCTTTTTTTTTTTTAAAGAGTAAAAAGTTCTACATTCACTGAACAGAAATGTTCCCTCTTTAACAGGCTTCAGGGAATGCATGCTCAAGCTCTTGTGCAATCCAGCTGCAACCTAGGGAAAAACACTTTCGGTGAAGAGCAAAGGTCAACGCTGCCATGTTCCCTGTGGATACCTAAAACACAGCTGTTATGTAAAACAGTTGTCCAATGACAGGGATGGTGGAGACTGAATTTTGGGTCTTTGGGTGGGATTATGAAATAACCCCAGAATCGCGTTCCTGTATAAAAGCACCTCGCAGGAATCCAGCTGCACCACTACAGATACACTTCAGATCAAGGTATGCACCTTGAGCATTAGGATTTGTTTAAAGGACAACAAAGTAATGAATTTTTAACCGTTACTAACGTACTCATTTTTCGCAGCTCAAGCTCAGAAGCAGCATGCTCAGGCTCTGCATAGCTCTCTGTGTCCTGGCGACAAGCTGGGCACAGGACTGTCTGGTGAGCAACATCACCGTCAAACAGGACTTTGACAGGATGAGGGTAAGTCTACCAGTATTTTTCTTCAATCCATATGTTGATTTTGAGCTTTCGTTTCTCATATCCACTGACCTTGCAGTATCAAGGAACATGGTATGCCGTGGCCAAGAAAGACCCTGTTGGTCTTTTCCTTCTTGATAATATTGTCTCCAATTTCAAAGTGGAGGAGGATGGAACCATGACAGCCACCGCCACTGGTAGAGTCATCATTCTCAAGTGAGTTTGAATGGCATTTTATGCTGTTGTTGTGCAAAAATTGCACTTAGGCAATAGAAACATATTTCACATACCGTTTTACACTTCAGCAATTGGGAGATGTGCGCCAACATGTTTGGCACTTTTGAAGATACCGAAGACCCCGCTAAGTTCAAGATGAAATACTGGGGAGCCGCAGCATATCTCCAGACTGGATGTAAGTGTAGATTTATCATAATTTATTATTATTATTTTATTATATACCAAGTTCTGTCATGAAACTCTAGATGGTGCAGACTATGGGTCCTTAACCTAACTGATGATATCCATAGTCCTAAATGACTTGTCACAAGCTGATTGGTTCCCGTTGCATACACAGCCAATGAGCTTGCTACTTTACATTTAAATGGCTGATTAGCATTTGCTTGAGCATTGCAGCGTGCTTTCAGAGTTCCTCTGAAACCATCCACCTTCCCCAGCTCCACCTGTATAGATCTGCTACGGGTTATTTTATATGCTATTTGTGCAGTAGCAGTGTGTCTTAAATACTCACAGCAGCATATCGGCTTATGTATTGGCAGTAGCAAGTTCCTGTACTTTCTTGCAGCAGCAATAATCTACAAATACAGCAAAACATTGTCATATCCATTACCATGCTAAAATCTTCAGAGAGTTCTCATTATAGAAATATTAATATATATATATATATATTGCTCTAAAAATTAATCAGGTAAAATTCATGAGTTTATTTTTTTAATTTTACTTTATTTTTTATTACATTATATATATTTTATTTATATTATACATGTTAATATAAGTAATATATATATATATATATATATATATATTTATTTATTTATTTCAATTATTTAACAATTTAACAATCGTTTAATAATTTTTCTTTATTTTTATATATATTTTATTTTATAATACATATATTTTTTGACGACTCAAATGCAAATGTCTTGTAAGCATGGTCCTTATTAAACCTAGCTTGTGAAATGTGAGTAAATCATGTTACGTAAAACCTGACAGCTCATCTGCTCATGACCTGTCTCTGACCGTTCCACAGATGATGACCACTGGATCATTGACACTGACTATGATAACTACGCCATCCACTACTCCTGCAGAGAGCTTGATGTGGACGGAACCTGCTTGGATGGTTATTCCTTCATCTTCTCCCGATATCCTGACGGCCTCAGGCCTGACGACCAGAGGAATGTGACTGAGAAGAAACAGGATATCTGCTTCCTGGGCAAATACAGACGTGTTGCACACACAGGTAAGATGGTTGCTCCTCATGAATTATTATTATTAGATTCAATCATAAGTTCTAAATGTGCTGACGTGTTTTTGTTTCTTTAATTGTGCAGGTTTCTGTGACACTGCCTAAATGACCACTACACAAAGAGCTTCCGAGGATGTAATCTGACATGTTTTATATTTCTAACTGATATGTAAATACAGACAATAAGCATAATCCTTAAAAAAAGAATGCATAATAATTTTGCAATAAGGGGAAGATGTTTAATAGTAATTTTGCATAGTAATAAGTGCATGATTTAACATTTTTTTTCCTTTTTTCAAATAAACTTTAAAAAAAGTACTGACTTCAGTTATTGATGCTTGTAAACTCACTGTCACCAAAGTTTTGTCTGAACTCATATGAACTAACAATACAAACAGAACTGTGGCAAATCAATGCTTTTTGTTTACAGAGATGCTAACAAAAATGTTGTGCAACTTGAACCATGATACAGAGTAACTGGTGTCAGCACACATATTATAGACCAGTATGAGGATGAGGAAATAATCACATTCGAGTATTAGAATAAAGGAAAGAGGAGAGATGAAAGTAAATCTTTATAGGTCTATATATACAGTACTGTGCAAAAGTCTTAGGCCATGAGTATTTTCACAAAAAAAAAAAAAAAAAAAAAGGTTTTTGCTGTAGTGTGTCAGTGATATCACTTTACATTTCCAAAACATTCCTTTTGCCATTAATTGTAATAATCCAGTGAGATTTTCGTTTGCACAAGGAGTCTGACAGCAGCATCTGATCTCACCATCATCCAGTCTGTCTGGAATGACATGAAGAAACAGAAAAAACTGTGCAATGTCTCCAAGATACTTGAGATAGGTCACCATGGTGTGCTAAAAAAAAAAATTTAAATATGAATGGGAATATACTTTATATTATATTTTTCTCATAAGAATTTCTGGGGGCGTGGCCAACATGCATTGGAGAAAAACATGTATTTCATAATGTGAGTTTCCCCCAAATTTCAATTGTTTTATTTCAATGAAAGGTTAGAATGTGAACTTTTTGAACGAAAGAGAAAAAGCTTATTTTTGATTTTTCACAGCCTCCTTTGCTCATATTTACCAAGGGTGCCAATATTAGTATATAATACATCGCTATAATATATACATCACTGTATATTAAATATTTAATTTAAAATGTACATGACGCATATTAAAAATAGAAACAATATTTATTTTGTATGTTATCTAAATATGTTGACTGAACAGTTTAAATAACCCAAGTAGGACATTAGGAAAGATTCTACAAATTTATTTGGACTCCTTGTCCAGTGAAATAATGCATGACACTTCCCTGGAATTCTCCTCCGGCTACGGTGCTTCACCTAATCCCATCTTTATATAGTTTTACACACAGTCTAATTCAAGACAGAATTGGTTTGCCAAGTCAGGACTGATGGATGCTTCAGAGGTACCATGAGGATACAAGGGGAAACTAGGAAACAAACCACAGTCTTTTTCCTTTATTCATATACGTGGAGTACACAATTCAGTGAAGGACTCTGTAAATAATCTTACTTTTGAGGTACAACACTGATTAAAAACTAAAAAAGGGGAATATGCTAAATATTGTTTTATTTATCGAGATCAACCTTATCACCGAAAGAGAAATAAGAAAATAGCATTTACATCTGAATTCATAAATTAAAATATTTTTAAATATACCCCATGTAAACTGATACTTTTGTGAATATTCCAGGAAAGAATATTCCTTTTTTTTTAAATTCAAATTTAAAAATTTGACGCTTCTTATTCTTAAAAACAGTAATAAAATACCTGTTACTATAAAATACTGAAGCAATTCTTTGGAATGGTGACTATAATAAAAGTTTTTAAAAAATCATCCTACATCATAAGATTTCTATGTTTCAGAAGCGTGTGTTTTAGCTGAAGCAGTAGTCGAGGTGGGCGAGCAGCTCTCTGTGCTGGCTGGTGGGGTAGGAAGCGCCACAGTTCGGACACTCCAGCAAACTCTCATCTAGTAGGTTATGGACTTTAGATGGAGACGTGGTTCGATCTTGAATAGTCAATCTCTCAAAATCCATCCTGTTACAGGAGCTGGGCTCAGAGAAGCGAGACTCTCTCTGCTGTTTCTGAGGCACAAGGTCAAAACAGGCACATTAATATGACACACATGTCAATGATCATGTCAGGACACATCACGGAACATCTCCGAACTCACGGCAGACTCCAGGCGTGTAATCTGGTCTCTGGCCTTCCGAAGCTCTTTCAAAACTTTATGCAGCTGGTGCTGTAGAGTTTGACGGTCCAGTTTTTCATTTTCAGATTCTCTGGCCGACAACTGCATCTAATGATGGTCAGTGACAAAAAAAAAAAATTTAAATAATCTTTAACAATTTAGTTTTAAATTCTATTTTTGTCATTTTCAGCAAAACTTAACATTTGATGACTCCATATTTTCCCTATTCAATAATACATGGGATTGTATTTTTAAAAATTAAGTTGGTGGACAACATTTTCAAATATTTATAATTTTTTCACAAAAAAAAAGTGTTTTGTTTTGTTTTTAAGAATATTAATACTATGCTCACAGACGACTGACTGAATTGCATTTTTAACGTATTTTTTAGAATTAACAGAGTCACACACACACAAATAAAATAAAGTGTATCATATCATTTAAGCCAGGAATGAAATCAAGAAGCATGCTGGATGTTTCATTCACAGCTCTACTATTAAAAGCTGGTGTTACAGGATGATACAAATACCTGTTGTTCCAAACTAGCGATTCTTTTCTGCTCCTCCTGCTGAGTCATCAGGGATTTCTGCAGTAGATTCACCTTTCAAAACAGAAAATGTTTAGCTTTTAAACTTAAATTTTTTTTGCAGATATTGTTAATGCACACATAAGATGCTTCAAAAGAAATGAGCAGTTATAAACCAATATATCAGGCAGGGCTGTGTTTCCTGAAAGCATTGTAGGCCACTTTAGGCTATGCTTTTGGAAAAGCCAGTATGGACTGTTCAATCTGTTAATATTTGGCCATTTTGAGATCAGCTTCAACTGATAATAGTGACCAATTGTTCTATCAACAACAATGACATTCATATTTTATGAAACTGCAAAAAATAACTTTCTTACTCAGTAGCTTTGTCGTTTTCCAGTACAAATATCTAAACATTCTTAAATCAAGGTACAGTTACTTGAGAAGCAGAATGTTCATTTTTAAATCGCGTTTTCTGAAAAATGCATCAAAATCATGTGTTTATAGTTAAAACAAGAAAAAAAGTCTATCAGCGGAGTAAGAAAAATATAAACTTCATTTAAAGGTGAACCAATTTTTTTCTTAACCCACTGACAGATTTTTATTTTTTTTGTTTTTTTTCCCTTCTTAAGTAAATGCATCTTGCTTTCAAAAATGTTAGATTTTGTAACTGAAAGTAAGACAAAAATACAAAGTAAGAAATTTGCATTAAACATCTGTACCTGCATCAGTAGTTCGGCCACCCTCCTCCTCTCCTCCTCCAGCTCTCCCTGCAGTCGAGCGGCTCGCTCTGATGAACGCCTCCTCTCCTCCTGCAGAGCCTCCCGCTCACGTTTCCTCTCCTCCAGGAGCTGCTCCCGTGCCTGAGCTGCTTCCCGGCTCTTCTCCTCATACCTTCCTCTCAGATCCTCCAGTTCTGTCTGGACTCGGGTGACTCGGGCCCGTTCGGCCTCAAGTTCATGCTGAGCCACCTGCCCAGACTGGCCTGAAGAAACAAGAAGAGAGAATGAATGATGTTACTGGATTATACAGACCCTATATGGATGGCCATTTGGAGTATTTTCTATTCATATTTTACCATCTGAATTGGCTTCTTTGTGCTGTTGTTGGAGTGCTTGATTTGTTTCATTTAACTGCGTCTCTAACTCTTTGGTCCTGGCCAAAACACCCTTAACGTAGGCCTCCCGCTGCTGGTCATAAACAAGCCAGTTATGGTTCTTCTCCAGGGCCTGGACTCAAAGACAGAGAGAGGAACGACATGAGTCTGGAAGAAACACCAGGAAGCTCTTATCTGAACTCTTGAGATGTGAACTCACGTCTCGCAACTGCTCCTGAACCACCGCAAGCTCACCAGACGGAACCTGTCAGGAGACCAGTGACACATAAACGTCAAAAAATGAAATAGCAAAGAAGCACAATGCATCTCATAAATGATAAAAAGGAAAGATAAAACCTTTTACATCTTATTAACATCTTATATTTAGAAATTAATTAATTAGAGGTTTGAGAACCTCCAAATGTAATGCATTGTAATGAAAAGTCCTGTTTATAAACGAAGCACATTTTTGACTGATGCCCTGTTGGACTTACAGGAACTTCAACCAACAGGCCAACAATCTCTTAAAGCAGCACTACGTAACTTTTTCTGTGTTCAAAATTTGCTAAATGTATATAATGAGCGAGAACATCATGAATTCATCTTCCAAACCGCGTTTTTGTCTTATTCCGAATCACTGAACATTAACCTTAGTATAGTGTAGGTAGCACTGATTTTCTGAACTTTTCTAGATCAATGAAATCAGTTAACTCTGGTTTGCACTTGGGGAAAAAAATATCACGCAATATGTTAATAGTTATTATAAAATAGCATGAGTATAATATTTAAGTATCAATAAACTGTAGTTCAAATATTATATTCTTAAGAATTAGTTGTGGTCTACTAGCATCACTCCCTCAGCACTAGTTAGGTGACTTATACTGAAATAAGTCACCTTACAGTGAAATACTGCCATCTAGTGTGTGAACCTGACCATGACTTCATTTGCCTGGAAATATCCTTATGCTAAATGACAGGATATTACATAAAAAATTGTGCTCATTTTAATAAGCCCACAAGAAAATATGCACATAACAAGAAAGTAATTTCCGTAGCTGTTTCAGGAATGATAAATAGTAATAAATTATAACTGATGAGAGAGAAGGCAAATCAAAGAATGTATGTGTGTGGATAGATAGATAGATAGATAGATAGATAGAGTAAAAACAGCAATTTGTGAAATATTACTCCAATTTAAAATAAATGTTTTGTATTTTTATTGTATTAAAATATAATTTATTCCTGTGATGGCAAAGTTGATTTGGTGCTTAATTATTAATAATGGTTCTTATTATTATCAATGTTGCTTACATTTTTTTGAGGAAACTTCCCTCAACTGCAGTAATCTTTGATGAACAGAAATCTCAAAAGAACAGTATTTATCTGAAATAGAAATCTTTTGTAACTTGATGTACCCTTGCTGCTAAAAATATATATTTTCTTTGTTTAATCTTACACCAAACTTTTGAATGGTAGCAAATTGTGGTTTCCACAAAAATATGAAGCAGCCATTTCAACATTGATCGTGTGACACTGAAGACTGGAGGAATGATGCTGAAAATTCAGCTTTGATCACAGGAATAAATTAGATTTTAAAATACATTCAAATAGAAAATGGTTCTTTTAAATTGTAGTAATATTTCACAATATTACTGTTTTACTGAAAGAGCATGAGAGACTTTCGAAAATATTTTTAAATCACAATTATTCCAATAGAAACTCCACATTTTATATTAAAGGGGTCATATGATGTTGCTAAAAAGAACATTATTTTGTGTATTTGGTGTAATGAAATGTGTTTATGCGGTTTAAGGTTAAAAAAACACATTATTTTCCACATACTGTACATTATTGTTTCTCCTCTATGACCCGCCTTTCTGAAACGCGTCGATTTTTACAAAGCTCATCGGTCTGAAAAGCAAGGTGTGCTCTGATTGGCCAGCTATCCAGTGCTTTGTGACTGGCTGAATACTTCAAGCGTGTGACGGAAATGTTACGCCCCTACCATACCGCGATGCTGTGTACCGTGAGCGGAGGCCGGCGGGCGGGCTTGTGGCAACCACACGTGACGACCCCGGGCTGGACTCCGCTTCGTCCACGGTGAAAACGCGAATGAAAATCCACATGAAGGGTCTAAAGTCGACTCCCCTACCTTTTGTTTCTCAAGTGTGTCACACCTCTCAGAAACGGCACAATACTTGTTTTTCAGGTCTTCGGTCTCCTTCGAGAGAGCCTGAAACTGTGTCTCTCGCTGTTCAGCCTCCTGTTGTTTCTGCTCCAGCTGGCTCTGCAGTGAAGACACCACGTCCCCGTGAGCGGCGCGCAGCTGCTGTCTGAGGCTGGAGATCTCCTGCTCCTTCCCCAGCAGCTGCTGCGAGTTCCTCTCCCTCTGCGTCTCCAGGGCCAAGATCCTCTGCGACACCACAGAGTCGTAAAAAGGGACAAATACCTTCATAATAATACTCTTGAGTCTTTCACTTCAAGAAACAGACATGAAGAAATGTCAAACAAACTGCATACACACATCCAGACTGACACACAGACAGCTTTCTTGTCATTTTAAACAAAGCACCTTCAGATTTCAGGTATAAAGGCATAAATTCACCTCCAGAAGTTTGGCTTTGTCCGAGTCTGGATGCGTGTTTGGATGTCTTCCAGCTCTCTTCGTGTCCTCCAGACTTTTCTTCAGCTGCTGGTTCTCTCTCTTCAGTTTCTCGATCTCTATCTCCATTGATTTTGAATGGCTGCTTTTAAAGCCCAGTTTATTCACGAAAGTCTCCTTGGCCCCCTTCGCCGCCATGCCTGGAGTGATATCTGGACATAAAAGACAGTAAAACTAACCATAACAAACTCGAAACCAACGTTCATCTAGAAAGTACAATACAGATATAGCGAATAGTAAACAGCGAAAGTCCAGAAACATTTCTTGAAAACATTTGTGATTAATTATTATTATTTTTGCAGAAAATTTACTTTTTGATGAATAGAAAGTTCAAAACAAAAGCCTTTAGGTAAAATATAAATCTTTTGCATGTTTTAGTATCATTTTTAATCAATTTAATGCATCCTTGCTGAATACAAGTATTCATTTCTATAAAAAAAAAAACTCACTAACAACAAACTTTTGAAATGTAGTATGACTTACATTTCGAAATAGACAACATAAGTCAAGTTGTATGTTTTATATTATACATTTGAAGCATCATAAAATTAGTCGCAAAATTATTGCTTTTGATGACTCCGTTTCTATTTGAGGGCATTGGAAGCTACAGTGTTGAATACCTTCTCATCAGTCAGTCAGTCACTTTAAAAAACAGTCAATGATCTGATGCTGGCAAATGAGAAGAGTGTGAACGTTTGGGGCAAGGTCAGTGGTGCTGCTGTGCGGGGGATGATGTTTGGGTTTTAGTGCTGCATCTGCACTAAACTGCAATAATCTGCACTAATGACACTGCAGGCTGATGCAGCTGTTTATCACTCACTAGAGCATGCACGCACACACACACAAACTCGCCATACAGAAGTACAACACGGGCCTCCTATTGCTCTGGGTATACTGTAGTAGAGGGTTTGTTTGAGATTTGGGTGTTAAAAGACTGTCGTCCAATTTGGGTCAGAAATCCTCCACACTCTTGCAACAGTATTCCTTTGTGCTTACTTAGTAACGCAACATCCGTTTTAGAAATCCAGCTAATCCAGGATTCTGCAAGAGAGGAGGGAAAGAGCGCGAGTCTCTCAGGATTTCCAGTTTAATAAATACTGAATGATGGGAGTCCCCACACACACACACACACACACACTCACGCACACACGCACACTCACACACACACACACACACTCACACACACACTGATGCAAAGCTGAATTTTTAGTATCATTACTCCAGTCTTCAGTGTCACATGATCCTTCAGAAATCATTCTAATATGCTGATTTGCTGCTCCAGAAACATTTCTTGAAAACATTTGTGATAAATTATTATTATTTTGCAGAATATTTTTATTTTTATGAATTATTATTTTGACTTTTTGATGAATAGAAAGTTCAAAACAAAAGCCTTTAGTTAAAATAGAAATCTTTTGCATGTTTTAGTATCATTTTTAATCAATTTAATGCATCCTTGCTGAATACAAGTATTCATTTCTATTAAAAAAAACTCACTAACAACAAACTTTTGAAATGTAGTATGACTTACATTTCGAAATAGACAACATAATAAGTCAAGTTGTATGTTTTATATTATACATTTGAAAGCATCATAAAATTAGTCGCAAAATTATTGCTTTTGATGACTCAGTTTCTATTTGAGGGCATTGGAAGCTACAGTGTTGAATACCTTCTCCAAACTCAGCTGTGATCTGTGCATCTTAGTGGATGAAATGAAATGGCAGTTCACACACTATGGTCTGTCATCATCCAGTTTGGTGTACAGATCATTCGAGCAGCGTTAGATCATTTGTAATTGTCGCACACAGCAGATTTAGAGGGTAGAATGCGGTTCCTCATTAAATATCTATTCCCTCCTGGCTGCCTACTACTCCTCCTCCCTTGAGACTTTCTCATTCCACCCCTTCACTGTTCGCTTCACTGGATAATGGCAGCCCTCTTTTATTTCTCTCACTCCCTCTCTTATTCTGACCTTCTGTTTGTTTGTTTGTATATCCTTTTATCTAGTCTGTCTGTCTGTCTCAAATTTGGTTAGTCTATCTATCTATCTATAGTCAAAGTCTCTGTGCTCTTCTTCTCCCGTCTCTTTTCACTGTGACCAAGTAATGGAACAGAAATAAATCGGCAGACCTATGACCAGACCAGTATGTCCAGTCATATCTCACACACCTGAAGAGGGGCAGATGGTATCCCTGGCAACAGAAGATTCAAACTTAGTCCCCCTAATAACTGAGGACAAAGAACAACCCAGCAGTAAGACAACGGAGGGAATTCACAGCTGTTCCACATCCTTTTAATGCTTTATTCTGTTTCCCTAGGAGGATACATAGAGGGAAAGAATGCTGCTTACAAGACTATCAAAATATTTGCGAAAGAAGGGTGCATGCAAAAATAAGTGCACAATGTTTGGAATAGCTAAATATTTCATACATTTCAGCTCTTCATCATTCTATCAGGGTGGATTGAAATAAAAGTGTTTATGTATTCCCATGAGCCAAAAGGTATTAGGAAAAATAAAGGGATGCATTATAAACCATTCAAAAAAAAAAAGATATAAAGGAATACATGGATTTAACCAACTGGACCTACCATAAATATAATCATCACATATCACAAGTTCTCTAGTCTAGCATATATGCAGTATCATTGAATCTAAACAGAAGTGAAATGCACAAAAGCTACATCCATTCACAACCAGAGAATGATGCCATCAGTGTCCCCTCGTTACAAACCCAACGTCCCACATGTCAAAATCTCATCATCATCATACATTCCTCTTTATATACAATTCAAAACCTACAGCAGTAAAATCTCCATGAGCTCGACAGTATTACCAGCCAAATGTCTCATTTGGATTTACATGACGGGTTCATTAACACAACGTCTAATTAATACAATATTGCAAGATTCGGTTGTGATTTGGCTACATTTAGCTACAGATATTTCAGATTACACAGTGTATATAAATAACCCAACAACACAGGTTTGCAGCAGACACAGTGTGTTTTTAGAAAGACTATTATTTCCAGAAACAATTTTACTATGTGATGAAAATCCATTTTGCCTGTGAGTGCTTGCATATTCCTTTATCAAAAGGGGTGTGGATTATTTTCGGTTTTGTTAGCAATTTTAGGGTTGTTAGCTATATTTTGTGTAAGCATGACTACACACGTGTCAAATTTTCTTGAGATAAAGACAAATGAAAAGAAAGAAAGAAAAATAAAGATTTGATTGTCATTTGAGAATTTTAAATGAAAAATAAAGAATAATTATAAACAGTATCACGATAAAAAAAAAAATCTCCAAATGTCTGATGGCTGAAAAAAAAATCAAAATCAAAATTTTCAAAAATGTACAGTATATAAGGACATGAAAATAAAAAAGCTAACTTGTTACTAAGATATCTCTCCTCTTTACTCACAAACGGTTCTCAGAGGTTTTGAAAAAACAGAACAAATGTTGTCGACGTAGTAAATCAAGTGTGTCTCTATTATAAGGACGTGATCACGACTCACGACTGAGGAGATCCACTTCATCACATGTGACAATCTTCAGAACATTTGGCGTGTGATTCTCATTGGGAGGAATAATCTGACAAACCTATGTCTGTATTTTGGTTTGGCTTGTTTTCTGCTTCTGGAGAAGGAAAAACACTTCTCCTCAATGACAGCGTGTGAGTGCAGCCAGTCTTTACAGAGCGTGAGCCACAGTTGTTCATGTTTAGGTGTGAGAGACTCCAACAGCCTCGGAGCAAGTGCCAAGGAACGAACGCAAGAGTAAAACTCTTTTACTCTTTTCTCATTGATGTGTGAGACTTCAGCGAAGCATCTTGCTCCATCTGTTTGAAGGATGTTGCAGATTACCAAGGTTTCTTTCAGAGAGCAAAGTCATCCGCTTATCGATTGCTCTCTATGTTGTGATTGCCGTCACAGCAGCAGTGGGGCAAAACAAATGGGCCGTGGTGTTCGGGTCAGTGGTCTGATGTGAAGCTGGATTCTGTGGCACACTCGATGCACTCAGGATTTGACATTAACTGAAAAACGCAGATAAATCATGTTAGTGATGTAAAAAAAAACAAAAAAACTCACAAAACAGTACACTACAGTCTCATTACTATCTTATATATAATTGATCTTACATATTTGAATCAGCTCTGCTCACACTGAACGTCATGAATTGCATACTCGGATGCTTTTTAAACGGTATTAAAGGACTAAAATCCATAAAAAATGTACACTACCATTCAAACGTTTGGGGTCGGTAAGATTTTTTGATGTTTTTGAAAGAAGTCTCACCATATGCTCACCAAGGCTACATTTATTTGATTAAAAAAACTGCTAATATTGTGAAATATTTTTGCCATTTAAAAAAACTGTTTTCTATTTGAATGCATTTTCATTTATTCCTGTGATGCAAAGCTGTATTTTCAGCATCACTGTCACATGATCCTTAAAACATCATTCTAATCTGCTGCTCAATAAACATTTCTTATTATTATCAGTGTTGAAAGTTGTGTTGCCTAATATTTTTGTGAAAACTGATACATTTTTCAGGATCTTTTGATGAATAGAAAATTCAAAACAACAGATAGATGATAGATGATAGATAGACAGACAGACAGACATAGATAGATAGACAGACAGACAGACAGACAGACAGACAGACAGACAGACAGACATAGATAGATAGATAGACAGACAGACAGACAGACAGACAGACAGATAGACAGACAGACAGACAGACAGACAGATAGATAGACATATATAGATAGATAGACAGACAGATAGATAGATAGATAGATAGATAGATAGATAGATAGATAGATAGATAGATAGATAGATAGATAGATAGATAGATAGATAGATAGATAGATAGATAGATAGATAGACCAACTGGACCTACCATAAATATAATCATCACATATCACAAGTTCTCTAGTCTAGCATATATGCAGTATCATTGAATCTAAACAGAAGTGAAATGCACAAAAGCTACATCCATTCACAACCAGAGAATGATGCCATCAGTGTCCCCTCGTTACAAACCCAACGTCCCACATGTCAAAATCTCATCATCATCATACATTCCTCTTTATATACAATTCAAAACCTACAGCAGTAAAATCTCCATGAGCTCGACAGTATTACCAGCCAAATGTCTCATTTGGATTTACATGACGGGTTCATTAACACAACGTCTAATTAATACAATATTGCAAGATTCGGTTGTGATTTGGCTACATTTAGCTACAGATATTTCAGATTACACAGTGTATATAAATAACCCAACAACACAGGTTTGCAGCAGACAAAGTGTGTTTTTAGAAAGACTATTATTTCCAGAAACAATTTTACTATGTGATGAAAATCCATTTTGCCTGTGAGTGCTTGCATATTCCTTTATCAAAAGGGGTGTGGATTATTTTCGGTTTTGTTAGCAATTTTAGGGTTGTTAGCTATATTTTGTGTAAGCATGACTACACACGTGTCAAATTTTCTTGAGATAAAGACAAATGAAAAGAAAGAAAGAAAAATAAAGATTTGATTGTCATTTGAGAATTTTAAATGAAAAATAAAGAATAATTATAAACAGTATCACGATAAAAAAAAAAATCTCCAAATGTCTGATGGCTGAAAAAAAAATCAAAATCAAAATCTTCAAAAATGTACAGTATATAAGGACATGAAAATAAAAAAGCTAACTTGTTACTAAGATATCTCTCCTCTTTACTCACAAACGGTTCTCAGAGGTTTTGAAAAAACAGAACAAATGTTGTCGACGTAGTAAATCAAGTGTGTCTCTATTATAAGGACGTGATCACGACTCACGACTGAGGAGATCCACTTCATCACATGTGACAATCTTCAGAACATTTGGCGTGTGATTCTCATTGGGAGGAATAATCTGACAAACCTATGTCTGTATTTTGGTTTGGCTTGTTTTCTGCTTCTGGAGAAGGAAAAACACTTCTCCTCAATGACAGCGTGTGAGTGCAGCCAGTCTTTACAGAGCGTGAGCCACAGTTGTTCATGTTTAGGTGTGAGAGACTCCAACAGCCTCGGAGCAAGTGCCAAGGAACGAACGCAAGAGTAAAACTCTTTTACTCTTTTCTCATTGATGTGTGAGACTTCAGCGAAGCATCTTGCTCCATCTGTTTGAAGGATGTTGCAGATTACCAAGGTTTCTTTCAGAGAGCAAAGTCATCCGCTTATCGATTGCTCTCTATGTTGTGATTGCCGTCACAGCAGCAGTGGGGCAAAACAAATGGGCCGTGGTGTTCGGGTCAGTGGTCTGATGTGAAGCTGGATTCTGTGGCACACTCGATGCACTCAGGATTTGACATTAACTGAAAAACGCAGATAAATCATGTTAGTGATGTAAAAAAAAACAAAAAAACTCACAAAACAGTACACTACAGTCTCATTACTATCTTATATATAATTGATCTTACATATTTGAATCAGCTCTGCTCACACTGAACGTCATGAATTGCATACTCGGATGCTTTTTAAACGGTATTAAAGGACTAAAATCCATAAAAAATGTACACTACCATTCAAACGTTTGGGGTCGGTAAGATTTTTTGATGTTTTTGAAAGAAGTCTCTTATGCTCACCAAGGCTGCATTTATTTGATTAAAAAAACTGCTAATATTGTGAAATATTTTTGCCATTTAAAATAACTGTTTTCTATTTGAATGCATTTTCATTTATTCCTGTGATGCAAAGCTGTATTTTCAGCATCACTGTCACATGATCCTTAAAACATCATTCTAATCTGCTGCTCAATAAACATTTCTTATTATTATCAGTGTTGAAAGTTGTGTTGCCTAATATTTTTGTGAAAACTGATACATTTTCAGGATCTTTTGATGAATAGAAAATTCAAAACAACAGATAGATGATAGATGATAGATAGACAGACAGACAGACAGACATAGATAGATAGACAGACAGACAGACAGACAGACAGACAGACAGACATAGATAGATAGACAGACAGACAGACAGATTCCTGTGATGCAAAGCTGTATTTTCAGCATCACTGTCACATGATCCTTAAAACATCATTCTAATCTGCTGCTCAATAAACATTTCTTATTATTATCAGTGTTGAAAGTTGTGTTGCCTAATATTTTTGTGAAAACTGATACATTTTTCAGGATCTTTTGATGAATAGAAAATTCAAAACAACAGATAGATGATAGATGATAGATAGACAGACAGACAGACATAGATAGATAGACAGACAGAGAGACAGATAGACAGACAGAGAGACAGATAGACAGACAGAGAGACAGATAGACAGACAGAGAGACAGATAGACAGACAGAGAGACAGATAGACAGACAGAGAGACAGATAGACAGACAGAGAGACAGATAGACAGACAGAGAGACAGATAGACAGACAGAGAGACAGATAGACAGACAGAGAGACAGATAGACAGACAGAGAGACAGATAGACAGACAGAGAGACAGATAGACAGACAGAGAGACAGATAGACAGACAGAGAGACAGATAGACAGACAGACAGATAGATAGATAGATAGATAGTATTTAACATTCGCTTTTCATAATCCAACCAATTCTCAATGGATTAAATCCAGTCCTGTCCTTTTTATTACTAAATGTCCTATACACTCTGAAATGTGACACATAATGGAAGTAAATGGGTTGCTGTTTCATTGATGTCAAATCAGGGGCGAGATTAGACTGGATTCTGTTAGTTACCATCAATGTTTGTGTTCCATCAATGTTTCATATCACAGTGTAAAACATTGGCCTGTGATACACTACATCAATCTGTTGTGTCATTTGTAATTCATATATTGTTCATTATTCAAGTCATTAAATGCAGTCAATGTAAATGTCTTCTAATCACCCACAGCTTTGTAGAACATTTTTCTCAACATTAGAAGAAAAGGCTGAATGTCCACTGGGAAAAAGTAGCAGTATTTAAACACTTCCCTGTCCTATACACTCTGAAATGTGACACATAATGGAAGTAAATGGGTTGCTGTTTCATTGATGTCAAATCAGGGGCGAGATTAGACTGGATTCTGTTAGTTACCATCAATGTTTGTGTTCCATCAATGTTTCATATCACAGTGTAAAACATTGGTCTGTGATACACTACATCAATCTGTTGTGTCATTTGTAATTCATATATTGTTCATTATTCAAGTCATTAAATGCAGTCAATGTAAATGTCTTCTAATCACCCACAGCTTTGTAGAACATTTTTCTCAACATTAGAAGAAAAGGCTGAATGTCCACTGGGAAAAAGTAGCAGTATTTAAACACTTCAAAAGCACAGCAAAAGAAAGAAAATCTCCAGCCACAAAGGATTCTCTGCTTCCTGACCTACTTAGATGTCCTATCTATAGAGTTATGATTCAGATAATCCGTTCTGCATAAACATTCGGCATTGAGGAGCATATTTCATGTTGAGTGAGTGAGTGTGACTACGAAGAGGAGAAAGACCCACGAGGCTCGGGTGAAGAGGTTAGAGATGGCTTACTTGACAGATTCACGGCGCATGCTACGATGATGACAGCTCCTCCCACCAGAGAGACCACAGACAGCAGCTTGGCCACGCGACCCAGTCGTCTCGCTCCGTCTATGTTCCCCTGCTCCAGACTGTTCCGCGACTAACAGAACATGACAGTGAGATCTGAGCTTCCATTAAAGCACTTTACATATTCAACACTGTAACACACAATGAACAATTCAGCCTGGTTTACTGCAAGAAAAAGAATAACATAATATTTCTACACAGACAAAAGAAATATTCTATGAAACAAGAACAAGTTTACAACAAGAAAAAAAAGTTCTTGTAAGATTTTAAACATTCTATTAGACATATAATGTGTTAAAATGTCAATCAAAATCAACATTATTAAAACTGAATATAAATTAGGAGGGTTGATGGTAACTGGGTTAACATTTCAAGTCTTGTGCTAAAAAAAAAAATATATATATATATATATATATATGTAATTCATATATAATTTATTATTATACATTTAATATATATATATTTTTTTGTTGTTGTTGTTGAAAATACTGAATATATCACATTAATATAAATATACATACAAATACTGGAAGCTACTGGATTTTTCTTAATATGTGACCCTGGACCACAAAAACAGTCGTAAGTGTCAATTTTTCGAAATTTAGATTTATACATCATCTGAAAACTGAATAAATAAGCTTTCCGTTGATGTATGGTTTGTTAGGATTGGACAATATTTGGTCAAGATACAATTATTTGAAAATCTGGAATCTGAGGGTGCAAAAAAAATCCAAATATTGAGAAAATCGCCTTTAAAGTTGTTCAAATGAAGTTCTTAGCAATGCCTATTACTAATCAAAAATAAATTTTTAATATATATACACTAGGAAATTTACAAACTATCTTCATGGAACACGATCTTTACTTAATATCCTAATGATTTTTGACATAAAAGAAAAATCGATAATTTTGACCCATACAATGTATTTTTGGCTATTCCTACAAATATACCCCAGCGACTTAACACTGCTTTTGTGCTCCAGGGTCACATATGTTTAGTGAAATATTAATATTAACACATTTAAGTGTTTAAAAAATATTAACTTTTAAAACAAATATATAAGAAAAAAATAATATTAACACAATGTTAGCGATTCTTTGTTAAACTTGAGCATATTAGGGACACAGATCTTGTAGAATGACCCAAATGGCCCAATTTCTACATACCATGATGGAGTAAACAAATCCCACAATGTTGACTGGCCAGACAGGGCAGAAGCAGGCGATGATGGCGAGGATGAGGTAGTCTTTGGGTTTGGAGCGGTCCATCGGGGGGTTGGTGGCGATACTGGAGTGGCGTGAAATAGAGGGCCGTGGGGAGAACGCTGTGTAGGCGATGGAGCTGGAGCGGCTGCCCATCCGGGTGCGGCCCACATGTGGATGGTGAGAATGAGGGAGAGAATGATGCCGGCGAGGAGGAGATGAGAGAATGGGTTTGAAGGTAGAAGCATCGTTTGGGGAAGAACAAATCCTATCGGCTGCCAAAAGAAAGAGAGGATGTAAGCAAACTAAATGATGAGACAAACATACACATTTAAATAGAGACCTGGCAAGGTCTTACAGAGTTCATACAGCACTGGTCAAATGTTTGGAAGGTTTTTGAAAGAAGTCTCTTATGCTCACCAAGGCTGCATTTAATTTGATAAAAAAAATACAGTAATATTCTGAAATATTTTTATTATTTAAAATAACTGTTTTCTCTTTGAATGTATTTTAAAATGTAATTTATTCCTGTGACCAAAGCAGAATTTTCAGCATCATTCCTCCAGTCTTCAGTGTCACATGATCCTTCAGAAATCATTCTAATATGCAGATTTACTGCTCAGGAAACATTTATACACTTATTACTATCAATGTTAAAAACAGTTGTGCTGCTTCATATTTTTCTGGAAACCGTACCATTCAACAGTTTGGAAAAGTAAGATAAAAAAAATAATAATATGAAAAATCTAAATGTATTAATAGAAATAAATATGTCTGCTTGAAAGAATGAAGAATATGGTAAACAATTTGCTATAAAGAACGCATAATTAGCCTATATAACCATTGGTATTACATTAAAAAGAAGACCATGTTCTTGTTCTTTATGAGTGGTTTTATTTAATTTAAACAAAGGCATGTTGTGTGTCACCGCAATTAAATCCGTGTCTATCATGATAAAACCTTACTATCAAACCTATATAATGAGTTTGGAAATTTGAGAGAAATGCTTAATAAATGCACTGTAACTAAACCCATTCGATTTTAGTCGACTAAATTTACTGTCGATTTAAAATCTTATGATATTTAGTCGACTAAAATTAGACTAAAACTAAAAACAATTAAGATGACTAAAATATGACTAAAACTAAATAGCATTTTAGTCAAAAGACTATGACTAAAACTAAATCAAAATTTGCTGTCAAAATTAACACTGAACTACATTCTATATAAAAAATAATATATATATATTAGGGGTAGAACGGATCGCGGGAAAAAATCTAACCGTACGGTTCTCCACACACGGTTCGGCACGCGCTAGGACCGCGGTTCAACTTAAATCTGACAACGCATCTGTAATATGGTTTGCTATAAATAACACGTAAAACAAACAGGGCTCGGCTAATATATGTTTCTGTTGATGGATGCGCATTTTGGCTTCCAAATACATTACAACAACAGTGATGAAAAGAAAAAAAACGTGGACAAACCATTCACTCTTGTTCAATGCGACTGCCGTATGCTGGAATATGAGCATTTATTCCGTCATGACCCGGGTGCTGATAGCATGCGCGCACAGGTGAGACTTGAACAGCACACGTTGATATCTGTGTTTAAGCTAAACTCGTTTAAGCTTTGCCAGTTTAAACATTTAAGAGTCAGAGTGAGAAGATTTGTGCGTGCGCTCATCCAAAGCGCGCAAACCCGCGCCTCAGAACGAGCAAATATTAAGCTTTCTCTGAAGTATTGTGTTTAAATGGACAAATTCTCACAAAAATTGTCAAAATGTCCATCTTGGTAAGTATCCTATAGCTGGCTGAATGTACTGTATCAGTGCATTCTCTTAAAGTGACAGTACTTTCTTAATATTAATCAAACAGCAACAACAAAGAAATCACTCACTGCTCTTGATTGAATAGCTTTTGTA